TCCCCTCAGCAGTGTATTTCAGTATATCTGCCTGTTCTGCTCCCCACTCTGTTTCTCCACACCTCTGGAAGCCAGTTCTTCTATGCATAAATAAATAAAAATAAATATTTTTAAAAAATGCTTCAAAGCTAAAGACACACACACAAAACCAAAGTAAAACCATGGAAAATTCTATAAACTGTAAATAACAAAAGAAAAATTGATGTAATTATGTTAATATATAAAACAAAATAGAAAATGCATCATTACTTAGAATTAAAAACATCACCATTATTGCTAAAAGATTCAATTTGTTAAGAAGATATGAATTCTAAACTTACATAGACTTTTAATAGCTTACCCTGAAGTGTAAAAAGCAAAAACTGACAAATACAAGGCAAAGGTTGTATCAGAAAGCATACTGATAAGTCAATCAGAAAAAAATCCTTAAGGAAACAGAAGATCTAAATACAAGTCTAACATAATAGACATGTAGAATATTATACCAGTATTAATAATATACATGTATTTTCAACTCACATCAAATATTTGTGAAAACTGATGGTATACTACATAGATAACTTCAAAGAATTAGTACTATATTAACCTTATTCTCTAAATACAAATTAAAAAATAAAACATAATTTTCAAAATCTATGGGTTAGAAATATTAAAATAGTTCTAAATGTCTGATGGGCATATGATGAAATCAAAATATTTAAGGGCAAACAGGCAAATGAATCAATTAACTGGCTAGTCTCATTTTATACCATGTTAAAAATTTTTAATTAAAATACTGCAAACACACTGAGAATCCATTAATGGGTAGGTTTGTGTGTCTTCTCAAAAGGTGGCCAATTTAACAGAAGTTAATTTGAGAGAGAGAGGGAAATAAGTTCATAGACTAGTAATGCATCTTGAGTAAAGTCAAGGTAAATTCTAAGTTAATGAAAATATTTACAACATTTATTTCTTCTCCCACTGTTTTTCTGATAGTGTAAGAAAAATATGCCTTTATCAATTTAACTTATAGTTAGATAGATTTCTTTGACCCATCAGCATTCCTGACTACTGACTACTGATTGGGTAGATTATCTTCATTTTCAATACCTGGCAATTCCCATGTCACTATCAAAAGAATGGGATGCTCAATCTAAGAACGATTAAAAAGGAGTAAAACAACTCACTTTGCCATTTCAATAAGTATTTTTACATCAATTGATAAACACATTAATGGATATTTAATATCAGCCAAGAAACTTAGTTTTTGCATAACCAAGAAAATTATACACACATGGTATGGTTAGAGTAAAGCTGAAATCTAAGAAATGCCTATAAAGAAAAGAGGCAACATAAGTATGACTCCAATACAGAATTTATATTTTCTCCTGAAATGAGAGCTTATAAGCCACTACTAAATAACTAGCTCTACATTATAAGAGTAGGAACAGGCTGCCATTATCTAAATATCTGTATCACCCGAGAAGAAAATAGCTGTCATCCAACCACACCATTCCTAGATATGAAGAGAAAATATATTTAACAATTAGCTTGCTCCTAAATCTTAAAATAGAATTCTCTTCAATAGCAGCAGCTTGTAGAATAAGCTCAGCTGCTAACCAACAGTAAACAGCTGTTGTTTCCAACAAATCTAAAGAAGTTACATAAATTATCTATTTAATTTTTTCCCATTTACTTTAATACTTACACAGGATATTTTACCTAACCAGTAAAATCATTGTGATTCCTGTGATTAAGTCTTAACCAGGGTACAAGTGTACTTAATATGAATGGCCCAGTATCTCTTGGTTTTCTAGTTCTACCACAGAATTTCTGCACATCCTCTATTACCAGAACCACTGTAGAACTATTCAAACAAGAAACCAGAAAGTAGGACTGCTATGTTTACCCCCCAAAAAATTACATGCCTAGTGAAATTTAAATTTCAGATCAATTACAAAAATGTTTTAGTATAATTATGTACCAGATATTGCATAGCACATATTTATACAAAAAATTATTCATTGTTCATCTGAAATTCAAATGTAACTGGGTGTTTTGCCTTTTATCTGACAACTCTACCAGAGATCCATCCTCTATTACCTCTACTACATGTAATCTCCCACACCAAGACCTGTCAATTCTACCTTCTAAAAACACCTAAAATCCATCCATTTTTCTCCACACCTTTGCCACCAGCTAGGTCTAAGCCACCAATCCAAGGAACTCCCAACTAGTCTCTCTGCTTCCACTTCATAGAAATGCAGCAGTATTTTAATACTGAACAAAATAAATGCTAACCTCAAGTTTCTTCTTTTCTGGGGTTGTAATCTGGTAGCTGTGGAAATCTAAAATCTTTAAAGTAGCAATGAGAAGGGTCAATGAATTCACAACTCTGTTAAGGTGAAGCCTTTCATGAATGATGTCTGAAACAGTCCCAAGGAAAGTTTTCTTCATGCTGCAGCCAATGACCTATATCAATTATTTTGCTTTGATGTTTATTGCCACAAAAGAACGACACTCCAGCCCCCACAAAAGGTACAGAAATGATAAATTTGGGACTCAATAAAGTTGTTTTAAAATATTCTTGTCTTTCAGAATGAATGCTAAGATTTGTAAAGAGACTGGTTGAGCCTATCTGACTCTCAAAGTCCTGTCATTCAAATTGATGTGCTTGGATAATATCCTGAGTAGAGCATGCCCATCAGCCCAAGATTGCAGAGTCACCAGAAAAAGCAATAAAGAAGATGGGCAGTCAGCAAGCAGAATGCAACTTTTCAGATGACTGCTGACCAAGAACAGTTGCTGCCTCCTGCCTGACAAATAAATGTTTTGGTTATGAAAGCTACAGTTATCTCAGAGTGCTGACCGCCCGCCTGTCACACTGAATGATCAATAGATGCCTACAAAGCAGACTATACATAGAATGCAGGTGCAGGCTTTAAGGTCTATGTGACAATGCAGAACTGCACAAGCTAACCAAACGAAATGCAAATTATTTCCATGGAAATAACTAGCAGATCGAAAGAAAACAGGCTTTACTGTATATTAAGGAGGTCACAGAATTGTTACAAATGAGCCTCACATCATAGAACATGAGCAATTCAAGTGTTTCAAAGTTCTTACAGTGTAAAACTGAAAGTTCATCTATTTAATACAAAATACTACCGTGTCTTAATGTTCTTGGTACTGAACAAGGGGACTCTTTTCACATGGAACTAGCATTTCAAATTAACTCAGTAGAGACTCAAAAGTGTTGATTCAGTTATTATTTATTAAACAAGTCTTTCTATGGCTAAAATCTAATCACACACCATAACTATTCTTAGGAGCCATATCCAAGCTATAGTTTTTGGTGTACCTTACTTTCTCTACAGTAGGAGAATGAAATTTCCAGACTATAGATATCCTAGCCAGGCTAACATCAGAGATGACAGAAGAATATTACTGTTTGGAAGAAATGTATGTAAAACATCTATAAACAAATGTGAATGCTGCCAAGATCACACAAGCTGTAAAGTCTGCATTTGTGTTTCCATGTATAATCTGTTTTAATGTGTCCACTGTGAAAGAACTTCAACTAAAATGGAATGCAATGATATAAAATGGAAAATCTCCAGCATGTGTCCTCAGGAAAATAAAAAACTTGAGGACTGAGAGCTGATTTCCAATGTCTGATCCAAGGACATAAAGAAAAAAGGGCAGGTCCTGTTGGTCTTGCAAAACAGGCTGCGTTAAGCTTCGTTTGGCTGGGCTGATTTTGCCTGTTCCCAAAATTTTTAAAGGTGCTCTCTTGTTTTTGATTCTAACAGGCTCTAACTGAACTCTACCTTTTGCATTCCTACATAAATACAGACTACCCCAAATCCTCAAAAGAAACCCGCAAATTGCCTACAATTTGCTATAGTTTGCTTGTCCAGGACTGCGGTTCCTATTCTATTCCCAAGCTTATTTTTAAATTTTGAACTTGCCTCAGTTTACTTTTTTGAAAGTTGACACCCCAATCATACAATATGAGGGCACTTGACCATCTGCTGCTAACAGCACTCCTAGGAAAGTGGCTTGCACAACCAAAATAATATTTGTATAATGATTAATTCCCAGTTCATTTTCACACCTGGGAACACAGACTCAAGGTTCAACAATTAGTCCCCATCACCAGGAAAGCACTGGGAAGTACACTCAGCAGAAGTGAGTTTCATATCATTCCCTTGGAGACTGAGCATCCCAAACTCTGAAACAGCACCGCTGCTGTTCCAGGACCCCAAATCCCCAGATACCGGTGATAAGGACTGCCACGCCTCACAGTGCTTGCCCACGCCAGCCTCCAAACACTTATAATTTGGTCCGTGGCTCGGAAGCAAACGTCCGCTTTTCTCAGAATAAGCTTTCCCGCGGCCCGCCCCGTGGGGCAGGGAGCTAGTCAGGCATTTGCGTTGTATCAAAAGTTTGCAGAAAAAAGACGCGGTGCCGTGGGGCACCCCCGTCTACCCCCACAAGTGGGGATGGCGCCTGGCTTGCCGGGACCCGCTGCGGGTTAACTGCGGGAGTAGGGGGCGTCCGCCGAACCCGCTAACTTACACCCCACCCTGCCAGCCCCTCCAGAGAAGGCCGGGGCTCCGGTGCCGGGCGGCGCCCCAACGCCCCTGGCCCCAAGCCCGCCCGAGGGGTCGGTCCCGGGCCCCGCGCGGCCTCTTCCGGGTGACCCGCCTGGGGCTCGCGGGCCGGCCAGGCTCCGCCGCGAGATCCGGAATGGACCCAGGCCTCGGCCTCGCCCTCGGTTCCGGTTCGGGCTCCCGGCGTTCTCGGGCCGCGACCAGGCCCCTGGCCTCTGACCCGGATCCTGGGCCCCGCACCCGCTGCGGCCCCGGGCTCTCCCAGGCTCCCCACGGGCTCCCCGACGCCGGCTCCGGTCCCTCAGGTCTCCCGCCTGGGCCCCCACTCCCAGTCGGCAGCCGGGCCCCCGGCCTTTGACCCCGGCCCTCCCGCCGCCGCCGCCGGCCCGCTGGCTGGGCGCTCACCTCTCCTTAGAGTAGAGCTGCAGCTGCTGCTCCTGCTGCTTCTTCCGGATAAACGCCATGGAGGGAGGGCCGGGCGCGGGCGGGCGCGGGGCGCACGGCTCAGGCCCCGCCGCCGCCCGCCGAGGAGTCTGGAGGAGTCGCAGGCAGGTCCGGCCGCGAGGAGAGCGAGCTACCGGCCTGGCTTCCCGAGCGGCGCCGCTCGGCGGCCGAGCCCCCGATGCTGCGCCCCAGGGCCCGCGGCGTCCGGGTCGCCTCACCGCAGCATCTTCGCGTGGGGACTCCGGCGGCGCCGTGACTCAGGCCCGGAGGAGGGGCGCGCGGTGACCCAGGGCGTCCCGAAACTCAGGCCAAGCCCAGGTGCTGGCCAAGAGGCCGGCCTGGGATGTGTCCTTCCCACTGCACTGGCCGCCGTGCTGCGCCTCTTGTAATATTTTATGCAGGAAAACAGATGCTTGCCCATCAACCATAGACAGCACTTTCTGGCCACAGGGACTCGAAATAAATGTTTGGGGCCTTCAATCTCTTGGTATTTGAAATTATCGGTCGCCTGACTGCTTAGCTTTTTCTAACTATATAACATATCAAGCAATTCACCCATTTAAATGGTGCTGTTCGGGGGTTTTAGTATAGTCATTGATGTATACAACTATCATTACAGTTTTGGGATCTTTTCATCACCCCAGAAAGTAACCTATATCCTTTATTAACCCCCTTACACCCCCCACCCTCCATAATATCCTTCAGTTATCTCTCATTCAAATACACACACATGCCCCCCCAATTCAAGTTCCAGCGAACACTAATCAACTTTCTGTCTGCATGAATTTACCCATTCTGGACATTTCATGTAAATACAGTCATTTTAGTAGCCTTTTTTTTTTTTTAAACGTAGCCTTCGAAATCTGGCTTCTTTCATTTAGCATAATGTTTCAAGGTTCATTGTATGTCAGAATTTCATTCCTTTTTATTGCTGAAAAGTATTCCATAGTATAACACATTTTGCTCATCCACTCATCAGTTGACGGATATTTCCAATGTCCATCGTCAGTTAATTTTGAACAATGGTGCTATGAACATGTGCACAAGTTTTTATATGGACATATGTTTTCATTTCTGTTGACTTCATACCTAGGAACAGAATAGCCTACTCATATAGTAACTTTTTGTTAAATGATGGAGAAACTGCCAAACTATTTTCCAAAGTATATGCCAGTATTGTATTAGGATTACAATTTCTTCACATACTCACCAACACCTGTTATTATCTAATTTTTTATTTTTCATTATAGTTATCCTAGTGGGTGTAAGTGGTATTTCATTATGATTATGACTTCTAAATATATCCTGAGAATGAACCTATGATTGTTTATCTTTGGGGGATTCTTGAATAACAAATTTCTAAAATGCGTATTTGAGAACACAGATCAAATATTGTCTTACAGACCTGGATTTGCAGGGTTATTTTTGCAAGGTGAATGTATATTTCAGCCCTCTAGTAGGTGGCAGGACTCTGGTAGCAAGGTGACAGAACCAGAATAAAAGCTGGGACTGGGTTTTATTGAACTTGATCTCTAGCAGCATTGAAAAATACTATATATAGACACCAATTAAAATTTTTTGAAATGAATGAAGTTTGCATGAATACCATGTGACTGGAATGAATTGTGTCGGTGTATCTAAGCACTTTATAGACTCTATAGCTGGTAAAAACATATCAGCCAAATATTCTTATAATAAGTTGTGAACCATTTTGTTAGCCACAATATAAATACATGTGCAAGTATACCATGAAATAAGATAATAAAATTTTCCAAGAAGTAAAACACAATAGCTTTCTACATGAGAAGTACTACAATAGATGCTGTGAGTTTAGAGACAAATCATTTGGGTTGAAATTGGATGAGAAAACAAAAATGTGCATTTTCTTATTCTGGTTAAACATTAAAGGATGATGTGATCCTGGTAGTTGGAGAATGACAGATTCTCTCATTGACCAGACTTTAGTCAGGCCCTCTTCTTCACTAGGCCTCAATCTTGGCCTAAAAAAACTGCACGTCTAGCACTAGTGATTTTTGCACCACCTTCTTCCCCCACTTAAACACAAATAGTTTCTAACAGTTCAACCCTACATCCCTAAGAAGACACTAGCATGCCCCCCTTCTTTAAAATCCCTAAATGAGAAAGCTCACAGTTACCAAAAAATTGTTTGTTCTAGCCGACACCTGACATAGGCCCTAGACTACTGTTTCTTAAAGCTTCAAAGTGTAAATTCTTTCTCTGTGCTTTTGTGTACATATCTCCTACAACTCACTAATGTCTTTCTCAAGGACCTGAAAGCATTCCTTTGAAATGTAATCATCAAAAAGGACAGAGCCTCTGTTTCCCTGTCTCTATAGGAAGGTAATTGCCAGCTAGCAAGTAGAGCTGGTCTCATCACATTCATATTGATCCACCCTTTGTAATTTTTCACTTCCCCAGCTTTTTCTTTGAAAAGATGAGAGAACAAACACATTCAAAGGATTTTCTTGAAAATAATTCCAAAAACAGATACTTCTACTGTTAAAGAATTTGTGTTTGTGGAGAAATTAAGGGAGGTCTGAGAAGGAACATCTTCATCCTTCCACTGCCAAATCATCTAGCCTACTAGCATCTGTTATCGTCATTCCTAAAACTTTGAGGCATATTTGCTCTTATAAAAGAGCAAATTTTGCTCCTTCACAAGAACTTAGCCTTTCTTGCTTATCCGCATCTCTCTCTTGCTTTGTCTATTTCTCTCTTACTATTGAATCATTCACATCTGAATACATATATTTTAAATAAATGTTTCCTTTATCCCACATTTCCCTTTAACTATCCATCTCAGCAAAAATTTTTGAACATCTGCCTACACATGCTCTCTCCTTTTTCTCACCGTGCAGTCACTTCAACCCATCCAATTAGATTACCATTTCTACCAATTCACTGTAATGGTTCTGATCAAATAACTACATTCATTGTTCACTTTTCTGGCTTCAACTTTTCTGAATTCTCAGCAAAATCTAGCATAGTTGAATATAGCATTGATGTAGCTGATGTCGTTTTGTGGAGTTGTGGGGTCCTTGGGTTCACTCTGGGAATGGTTTCAACAGAGGTCCTGGTTCAGCAGCACACGGCGAGTTCCCCAGGCGAGTTTCTCCGTGAGACAGAGACGTTAGTTATATTTAAAGAGCAGGTTTATTAGGGAAAGGGAAAGGGACAGGTTTTGCTAAGAGAGGCCTGCTTGGTTGCAGGCAGATGGCCTTGAGGAAAGCTGCCTCCGCTGAGGGAGGTCAGTGAAGAGAAGTCCTGGCATGGTACAGATCATGGGCAGCCAGAAAGCTGCTGCCCTGTAAAGAGAGAGAGTTGGTGAAAAGAGGCACCTGCATAGTGACAGGTGGGCAGTGGGAGTGCTGCCCTGAGCCTGTGCGGAGACTGCACTGATATAGTCCTTTTCTCTTTGGGAGGGGTCACTCCTCCATGGAGTGGCTGCTTGTTGCTGATGTTGGGTAACAGGCAACACAAGAAAGGGACCAGAGATTTCAGGGTGGGCCCAATCGCCATATCTTTACCCTTAGGCCTGTGCTCCACTCCCTGTAGCATCTGACCCCGCTTGGGTCTCCTGCCTTGTGATAAGGCACTGGTGCCTAAGGGTCAAGATCTCTACAGCTGGAAAGCAATTCCATTAAGATCTGGAACAAGACAAGGATGCCCACTCTCACCACTGCTTTTCAATATAATACTGGAAGTCCTAGCCAGAGCAATAAGACAAGAGAAAGACATACAAGGAATCCAAATAGGAAAAGAAGAAGTCAAACTATCACTATTTGCAGATGATATGATAATATACATAGAGAACCCTAAAAACTCCACAGAAAAACTAATTCAACTCATCAATCAATTCAGTAAAGTGGCAGGATACAAAATCAACACGCAAAAGTCAGTAGCCTTCCTATACACAAACAATAAATCTGAAGAAGAAGAAATAAAAAAAACATCCCTTTTAGTATTGAAACAAAAATATAAAATATTTGGGAATAAATCTAACAAAAGAGGTAAAGGACCTATACAAAGCAAAATTATAAAACACTATTAAAAGAAATAGAAGAAGACACAAAGAAATGGAAAGACATCCCCTGCTCATGGATTGGAAGAATAAACATTATTAAAATGGCCATCCTACCAAAAGCAATATACAGATTCAATGCTATTCCAATCAAAATTTCAATGTCATTCTCAAAGAAATAGAACAATTATTGATGAAATTCATATGGAATCACAAAAAACCCCGAATAGCCAAAGCTCTCCTGAAAAAAAAAGAAAGAAATGGCGACATCACACTCCCAGACTTCAAACTATACTACAAAGCCATAGTCATCAAAACTGCATGGTATTGGAACAAGAACAGACATACAGACCAATGGAATCGAATAGAAAATCCAGAAATAAACCCACAGATTTATGGTCAACTAATCTTTGACAAAGGAGCAAAGACTATGCAATGGAGCAAAGAAAGTTTGTTCAATAAATGGTGCTGGGAAAACTGGGTCGCTACATGCAAAAGAATGAAGCTTGACCACTACCTCACACCATACACAAAAATCAACTCAAAATGGATTAAAGAACTAGACATAAGACCTGAAACCATAAAATACATAGAAGGAAATATAGGCGAAACACTACGTGATTTGCATATCAAAGACATCTTTACAGACACATCACCCAAAGCAGTGATAGTGAAGGCAAAGATAAACAGCTGGGACTACATCAAATTAAAGAGCTTCTGTACAGAAAAAGAGACAATAACAAAAACAAAGAGAAACCCCATCGACTGGGAGAACATTTTTGCACACAACACTAATGATAAAGGACTGATCACAAAAATCTGCAAAGAGCTGATGAGACTCAACAACAACAAAGAAAATAATCCAGTCAAAAAATGGGCAGAAGAGCTAAAAAGAAACTTCTCTGAAGAGGAAATGCAAATGGCCAACAGACATATGAAAAAATGTTCAACATCACTTGTAATCAGGGAAATTCAAATCAAAACTACCATGAGATACCATCTTACACCAGTGAGAATG